TATATGTAAATAATTATCCATCTACCAGAGGTAGTTCCCAATTTTTCTAAAATATGGATTCATTTAAAAATAAAACATCTTTCTGTTGGTATTACTTTTCTCAAACTATTTTATTTATGTTTTTCATTGTCTCTTCCTCCCTTCTCCACCACAGTCCTTTCCAACACCACACACCAGGTAGAAAGAGGGTAGTGGGGAGGGAGGCGGAGTTTTCCTTAGCTACTTCCTGCTGGTTAGGTCTTAGGGTTCCTTGGAGGAAATCCAGTCCTCATTTCAGGGGATCCTCATGCTGCATGCAGCAGCAGCAACCAGCAGCCTTCTTACTCAGAGCCAAATTCCTCTCCCTGGGCTCTGGCATTTATTCTTTCTCCAGAGTCCTCCGATTTAAATTCTCTGCAGCTGGCACAGAGATCCTCTCAGAGCCCGCATGAGGCAAATAGTCTGCTGCTGTGGACAATCTGAATCAGTCCCATATCCCACACCTGGGACCAAAACAAAAACATGTTTACATATAAACTAAAGCTTGCACAACATATTTCCATGTGCTGAAGTTGTTTTACCCCATGACTATTCATAAACACCAACCAAGCTGCTGAGATTCTTTCAGTGGCAGAATGAGGAATGAACTGCATCAATCTATCATCTCCAGCCATACAGCTAATAAAAGTATCTGGAGACATAATTTTCTCTAGGGAAGAACATGCTGATTGGTTGTCCAGTTCCAAATAGTCATCCCTGAAAACACACATATAAGTAACTATCTATGGACTGAACAGGATATATAAACGTGTGTGTATATGTGTGTTCCTCGTAACAATTAATTTTAAAAGCCATGCGTTTGAAGGAGATCAGAGGTAGGTACATGGAAGGGCTTAGAGGGAGGGAGAGGTGAAATACTGTAATTAAATTACAATCTCAAAATTAAACAATTGTTTTTCAAAGCATCTGGAGGCATCTGGTGATTACAGCCATTTATCACAGTAACTTCAGACAATGGCAAGTTAAATATATGTACGGCATCCTGCTATAAATGCATTCATATTAGTTAATTTTGCAAAGTTGCAACCAAACACTTAGAAAAGGAGAATCACTGATTTTAGCTCACGGTTTCAGAGAGGTCAGTACATGATCATTTGATCTCATGCACTTAGACCAAACATCATAGGATGGGAGCAGAGGCTCGTACGTAGCTCATGAGAAGCAAGAACACAGAGGAAAGAACTGGGGACCAAGTCTAACTTCCAAACTCTTGTCCCCACATGTTCTGCATCCTCGGGTAGCTTACAGTACTAAGGTTCACATGATAGCTGAGGACCAACAACCCATGTGGCAATGGTGAATATTTCTTTTTCAAACCCTAACAATAATCCCTGGCACATTTGCTACTCCTCTTTAAATAGGATTAGGACAGAAGAGTAATAAATTATTACAGGTAACGGTTTAAACACTAAATTTATTTTACAAACCCTTGGTCTTCAGCATATGCTGTACGAGGCATGTACGAGGTCTTTGTGCTCACAGATAAACGCTGCAGGGACCGGAAATGTTAAGTACACAGGGTTGTTTCCAAAAAGGAAGCTGGAAGCAAATTATCTACCCAGAAGGCTGGAAGCAAATCGCTTTCTAGCCTACTGACCGTTGCTCCACCTTTGTGGTTAGAGATTTTCTTGCACTAGATATTCCCTTAGACCCTTATTATAAGCTTTTTTTTTTTCAGTCAATCTATAGAACATATTTTTATGGACTTTACAAAGAGTAAAAAAAAAAAAATATGTAAACTCTGTTGTGATCACAGAATTATCATCAGAATAAGTTTTCAGCAAATTGTGCTGTGCTTAAATGTTCCTAAGATAAGTTACTCAGAGTCAGACTCCAGAACTAAGACCAGCTACTCAGTCACATTGAACCAAACTGCTTTCTTACCTACTCTGGCTTGTCACTCTGCTGGCCATTGTGGTCACAGAGACCCCCTTCAACAAGCAATAACAATGTTAAAATAATGCCAATAGGAGAATCCCAGATACTTAACTGTGCAATGTTTTCAGGATCCTAGACAGCCCCAGGAAGCAGAGATAATGGTGTCACCCAGGCCAGAAGCTAAGGGATTATCTAAGCAATCCTCAAAACAAAATTCATCACCACTGCATTGTTTGGTTTTGATTAGAAAACTATCACTGACCTTAAAGTGTTACATTCAGAATTATAGCATCTCATGAAGTATTAGCATATTTAAGAAGCGTGAAGAGAAAGAGTATTTGATAGCAAAAGGACAGAATTTAATGTGAATTGCATGGATATAAAGTTCATTAGCATTGGAGGCCTTCATCAGCAGTTGGGGTGAGCTCACAGGTGGAGCATGAATTCTCACAAGCACATCTTGTCTGAATTATTTCAGTCTTGAATGTTATAGGTACTCTATCACAGAAATCTGTGACTCTGCAAGGAGAAAGCTCTTTGGAGTCTTGCGAAAGAACTTTTCAGAGGCAACAACTCTGTCATTCAGAACTCTCGTTTTCTGTGGGTCTGACAAGAATAAGTTCACTTTGGTATTACTAATTTTCCTATTCCGAGTAAATTCTTCTGGGACAGAAAACACCGTTTGCTTAGTGCGCCCATCATCAAACACCTAGAAGAGCAGTTGACGCTGGTTCATGCTTAACAACTACCTGTCAAGTGAGTAAAAGGAGAGCACTTCAAGCTTTGTAAGCCTTTTCGTCATCACAATAGTTCTGGAAGTTGCAAAGAGAATCTCAGCAGAATCATGTCCTGTAACCAAACAGCCTGCCATCTCTCATGTCAGCCAACTGTGTGGCCTGCGGCTTCACAGCCATCCTTGGCGCTGACCACGGAACCACCCACTCCCAGGCATTTCCGTGACCTGAGAGGTGCTAAGCAAACTCTGAATTTGGTGGCGAAACCCACGGTTAGTGTTGGGGTGGTGACAGAGCACGATGCATGTATTTCACGCAGGACATGCTGACAGGGCAGGCACTGCTCAAAACTGCCACCTGTGCTGAGAAGCCCTGAAACACTCTGAAGAAAGGAAGGCATCGTGGGATGCTGTCGACAGAGAGCATGCTGGGAATAAGGAATGCGCTGGAAGAGCTGCAAAGGGCTATAACAAGGCACAGAGAAGCCCAGGGCCTCTGAGAGCTAGACCCGGTGGGAGTACAAGGGCCCAATTGGAGCAGAGAGTTGACAAGGTGACAGGAGCCCTTCCCTAGGCCTGGCGGTGACGTGGGTAGGTGCTGCCTCGGCTGAGTGGAGTCCTAGGCCTGTTGGAGCCTGAGGGAGCCCAGAGCGGACCCTGCAGGGAGCAGGGGATTGACTGGAGCTCCAGGCTCCACACAGGAACCCGAGATTTGACTGGAGAGCAGGAGGGTCAGGAACAAGACCTGAGGAAAGAGAACTCGGAGTTCCCCAGGAGCGTAGGGCGCAAGGCCTGATGGGAGAGAGGCTGGACGGAGCGCAGGGCCTGATGGGAGTTGGAGCGCGCGGGACTTGAGAGGAGCTGGGTGTGAGGAGAGATTCTGCTTGGAGCACGAGGCACCGGCCTCTGCTGCAGGGCAGCGTGAGGGGAGGCAGACCGAGGTACTGAGCGAGGAACTGGGCCAGCGCAGCAGCAGGCCAGGCGCCCTCGCCTCCTGAAGGAAGGCTGCAGCTTGGCAGGCGCCTCTGTGAGGAAGCCACCTTAGGCGAGAGCCGAGGCGGGAGGGAGCACCCCATCGAGGGGAGAGTCGGGGCGCTGCACCGAAGACCCCACAGTTGAGCAGAGTGTGCTGGGGGGCCAGGAAAAGGGTATTCGGGTTTTTTCAAAGCGTTAGAAATGTCTAGAATCACCTTTTAAATGTCTGTAAAGACTTTGGAGATATTGCTGTCACTAAGAAAGTGGAGCCTAACGGGGGAAAGGAACTTATCCCGAGTGCCCGTGGGAAGCGTAAGTGAATGCAGCACTAAAATGCTGAAGAAAATTTCATAAGCTGTGGTTTCTGTGAGCTAGGTGTGTTCAGGCCGAAGGTCATGGTGAGCATTCCTCAAATGAAAACACAAAGCCGTTTGTGGTTGCTAAAGTCCACCCACACTTCAGATTCCGGGGCTCATATCTCTTTGTAAAGAGAGGAAATATGTTTGTGTCAACTTTCTCCTACTGACGTATTTGTGCACCGTTGAGTATGTGACCTTCCTAGCCTGCATTTATATTTCAGCTTTCTGCAACGCACGACATAGAGCTCAAAGGCAGAATGTGAATTAACAGCATCAAAATGTGCCCCAAGTGGAGGTTTAAAGCCAAATAATTTGTTGGCAATGAAATCCACTTTACCGTTAGATTCCGGCTAACATTTTCTTTCATGTAAAATTAAAAATAATATAGTCTTTAACTTTGAAGTGATTTATAGAGAGAATCGGAAATAGCAGAAGTCTTTGCTATATGTTTTTATTTTTAAATTATGTAGGAGGAAATATTCTATTTTTCTGGAAATAAAACTTTAAGAATAGCCAGGATCGGTAGGATGAAATTATTAAATACAATATAACACATATGTAGCAAGTACCTAGAAAAGACTTAGGTACTTAACAAATTAGGGATTATTATTTGTACTTAAATTAGCCATTTGATTTTTGTTGTAGAACTGAAGATGTAGAATCTTGGGAGAGATGATGAAAGTGTTTTAATTTATTGCATTAATAAGTTCATAAGTCCGTGAATATAGTAAAAAAAAATCACTGAGCTGGATACTAACTGGATAATTGGAGCTGAACAATATCTTAATAGGACTGTGTTTCTAACAGGTGGTTAGAAACAGAAAACCGCGAAGGCAGATGGTGATGCTTTGTGGCTAAAGTTTACTAATTTATTCTTATTTTCTTATTCTGCCATGACATAAGATGTTACCTGCTGAGTTAGAATTGAAACCTTATGGCTAAAACTGTTGATGTACTTTTTACTGCTGTTTGTTTTTGAAGGTCTGGTTGCTGGAACACACAGTGAACAAGAAACTATGAACGAGTCCAGGCAGCAGTCTCTGTTCTTTGTCATACTTCCAGATTTACACAAACTCTGCGCTGTCCAGATAACATTGAATAGCAGCGTGGCAGAAACAGAGATGAGGAGCACACAGATAAAGATGTGCAGGTAAAAACATGTGAATTATAGCTAAGCTTTTACACTTTAAAAATCCCATTATAGCTATTTTAGAAAGTTTTTCAAAATATTTGTTAAATCCATCTATATACTCTGAAAGCAAGGAACCTGAGTATGTTAGGTTACATTTAAAAAGGGATTTAAAATACTTGAGATAAATATCTTGCTGTGGAGCTTTTATATTTGTGACTTTTTTTTTTAATTCTTCAGGATGAAGAGATGGCTCAGTCCTTAGGAGCACAGGTCCAGAGGACCTGAGTTCAATTCCTAGCACCCACATGGCAGCTCATAACTGTCTGTGACCCCATTCTATGGGATTCAACACCCTTACACATATATACATGCAGACAAAACACTAATGCACATGAAAGAAAATACACTTTAATTCTCTATAAGACTTAATTCATGAATTAGGTCAGGCTCCTCACAACATAGAGATACTAAGTAATACATAGTTACTATCTATTCTTTAGAAGGCATTTAAAGATACTAAAAGATTAATATAATTTCTGAACTTTCACACCAAAACATGAAGAATACTTCTCTAAGAATTACCTTTTAATACCTGGCCCAAGATAATCTTTAAGAACAGCTCAGCTGAAGCCTGATTATTAAGGACTTGTGTATTGGTTCCTTTAATTGTTTGATGTACTCAAAAGACACAAGACAGATTATATACTGAAATAAATATTCTGGAGAAGAATAAAACCTGTAAGATTTCTTGGAGCAAGCTGGATGTAACAGTGTGTACCTATAATCGCAGCAGTCTGGAGGCTGAGGAATGAGGATCTAGGTTAAAGGCATCCTGGACTATACAATAAGATGACTGTAAAAACAACAAAATGCTAAGGACAGAATGAGGAAGACAGTCTGGGAGTGCACTCCCTGTTTGAGTGCTATCTAGTTATACTTACTGCAAATCACCTCTGGCCCTTTTGAAAAATAACAAAATGGGTAGAAAGCAAGATTTTAGACTGGTTCTAAATATTCCTGTAACATACCAGTATAGAAGTAAACAAATTCAATTTGAAAATAATGTGTTTTGTTTTTTTTTTCTCCACAGGCAGTTGCTACTTTTGCATGAAGATATTCTCACAGCACCTGTGCCTGGAATAGTAAACCAAATTTGGGTGGTGATGTCGGTTAGTATTACTGCTTATCGGAAGCAATAGTGATAACCAACAACTCAAGTATACTATCAGAGGTTAGGGTGGTTTACCAGGACTAACCGCCCTGTATTTTAGCTTAGTATGCCTGATGTTCAAGTCTATCAGTGATTCTAATGAATCTGCGTTTATCTGGCATAAACGCTGAGCTATATTGTGGCACAATATCTAAGACAGGATGGGCTTTCATGCCCTTTGTCAATATTTTAGTTACATTTAAGTTTCTCATCTCAGTAAATCAACTTTTTATTATTCTTTATTTATTTCTATCACATTCTCCCTCCACTTTCCCCCTCCACATCCTTCCAGATATAACCCCTTTCTTCTCCCAACCTTATATCCTCTAAAAAAATAATTCCCTGACTCTAGCTAGTGCTGCCCATACATGCATAGGGTAAGACTCTGTCACCTAACAGGTACCTCGCCCCTGAAGAAAACAGACTCTCCCTTCCCTGGTTGTCACGCTCAGTGGCTTCTCAGCTATGTGTGGGTCCCCCCCCCCCCAGCCATGCTGGCACGTTGTCTTGATTTTGTGCGGGGTGACACAACTGCTATACATTTGTGTGTTCCCTGGCCTGTTACAGCAGTCCTGCCTGACCTCTGCTCTTCCTGTCTGTCTGTCTGTCTCTCCTCCATGATGTCCCACAAGCCTTGGGTGTAGGGAGGATGATATATTATCCCGTTTATGACTGAGCGGTTCATAGTCACGTATTCCCTGCACACTGCTCGGTCATGAGTCTGTCTTAATCACCATCAGCCACATGGAGAAGCTTCTTTGATGAGGACTGTGAGCTGCACTGATCTACGGGCACAAACACATGGAGAAGACAGCTTGATATCATGTCCATTTAGCAAAATAATATCCACCAAGATAAAAATAATAGCCTTTAAAAATTTTAAATTTAAACTTCTATAGGTCCATTTTCCATAATCATGTGGAAGTATGTTTTGTGTATGTATAAGGTGTTAAGTACTTACATGAAATTCATTTCCCTTTTCTCCTATATGGGTTGGATATCATGTCACTATCAGGTAACTTCACCTTGACAATGCACCTGTCACAGATCCTATTGCAGGGAAAAAGTGGCTATCACAGTATCTTTCTTCAAATGGATATATAATAGAAATAAAGGATGACAGTGGAATCTATGCCCTCTCTTGTATTTTGCTTAAAATATTTATGTATCACAATATTTTGTTATATATCTATGTTAAGTCCTTTTTACAAATGTGAACTTTCTGTTATAGATACCATTTTTTAAATCTGGGAGACTCAATATCTATATTGAAAAATGTGGAGCAAAGGTATGTGTTTACAACAATATAGATGTTATATTGCTTGTATGTTCTAATTCTTTTACCAGATTCCTAGTTCGCTTTCTGTTGTTTGATAAAAACACCATGACCAAAAAGCCACTTGGGGAGAAAAGAGTTTACTTGGCTTAGTGTTCACACCACAGCGCATCATGGAGAGAAGCCAGGGCAGGCACTCAAGGCAGGAACGTGGTGGCAGGAATGAGATGCAGGCCACAGAGGAGCTCTGCTTACAGGCCTGCAACATGGCTCACTCAGATTGCTTTTTTACACAATGCAGGACCACCTGCCAAGGGGAGGCAGCACCCACACTGGGCCAGGCCCTCCCACATCAATCATTAATCAAAAAAAAAAAAATCCACAGACTTGCTAGGGGTCAATCTGATGAAGGCATTTTCTCAGTTGAGGTTCCCTCTTTTCAGATAACCCTTGTTTATGTACAGTTGCCAAAAATAAATAAACAGCCAAAACCTAGCCACCACAGCCAACAAACAAAATTTGGAATATCTTTCTCATAAGTTATTGTTATGTGTGGGAAAAGACCTCAAAATTTTTCCAGACAATTATTTTGTGTACATTTAAGGATGAGAGGAATTAGTGGGTTTTCTACGTTTTTACACTGGGGGAAAATTGAAATCCTGAGAGATGGAAGTATTGCCACAATTATATAGCTAACATAGAGAGAAACAAAATTATAGATTGTGTTCTACCAATGGTGAGCTTCTTCAAAGAGAGAAAATTGGTGTGGGGTTGGGCAGTACATCACAGCTTCAGAGGGCTAAGCACATTGTGGTGGGAAAGCTCATCTTGCCTTAGGTCACCCAGGTGGGAGAGAGCAAGAGAGAGAGCCTGCACTCTCTGAGCTTCCTGCTTCCTCCTCTGTCCACCTGGCCTCAGCCACAGCCTGTGAGCATGGCTCTACCATGGCATGGGCCCTACCCTGAGTTAGTTCTCTCTGGAAATCCTCATCCACAATCAAGGCAACCATTGATGATTCCTGGCTGTGGATCAGTTAGGATCCAACTAGTAAAAGAGTATCCCTCCCTTAAATAAAAACAAAAATAAACTTTTTTGGAAGAAATTATGTCTAACTTTGCTATTTTTTCCCTAAATGTTTTATGAGTCTCATCCATATTGGTATCTGGAACTTAGATTTTGAAGAAGTTCAACTCTAATTTTAAATGGTAATAGAGCTATTAAGTTATAATACCAGTTAAGTATTTTAACTGGTAATAGAGCTTTTATTTATTTCTTTCAGGGACTGTGTCCTTTTCATCTAAACTCCCAAGTTTTTTTTAATGAAGTTGCTTTGATAGTCTCTCTCTTTTGCTGTAAAATGTAAAGTGATGTCTCCTTTCTTTTATTTAGCATTGGCTATATGTGTGATCTTTTAATTTTTTTCATTTTCTTTTTCTCTCTCTTTGATCAGTGTAGCTAGAGAGTTGACAATCATTGATAGGATTAAGGACAGAGGATTTGGTTTCATTTATTTTTCTCTATTGTCCTACCGCTTTATATTTTGTTGATTTTTTTTCCCTTTCAGCTTGTAGTACTTCCTTTCTTCGACTTAATGTGGTCACTGATGCCACTGAGTTGAGAATTTCGTTATTTTCTAATGTAGCTACGTTTAGTGTTATACACATTCTCTAAATCGTTGCCCCCTTGACTTTAGTATAAATGCTTCCTAACACCTGTTCCAGATAGGCTGCAGGGTTCCCAAAGGGGGTTCCAAGAGATCTTTCTGATGCTGATTTCTCATTCAATTTAGACAGATGTTTCATAAAGCTTTTAATTTAAAAATTGAAATTATTTTTAGGGTCCAGAGCATATCTACTATAGATTTAGTAAACATCCCTTGTCATTTTGACAAAACTATGTATTCAGGTCTTATTGTATTAAGTATCCTATAAATGTTAAATGGGTCTCATTGGTTGATAATGATACAGCTACTCTGTTCCTGTTTTCTGTCTGTTTGTGTCAAATTATCAGGCTCAGGGTATCTAAATCTCTTCCTATATGTAATTGTGGATTTCCCAGTATAGTCCTGGCTCTCTCACTTTTCTGCTTGCCTTCCTTACAGATTTCAGGGCAGATTTTTCTGGATTTTATTCAATGCTTAAAAAGCAAACAACCTTGGTTCTCACTCTAACCTTCAGCATTTCCCTCACATCTGCTTGCTAACTCTTATTCAGCAGTAACACCAGGAGTGCCCCTCCCCAAGGCTCTGCAGCCTGCTCCCTGCAGCCCTGTCCTCGCCAGCTCTTTCTAGCTGCTTTGACTCCCTGTGGACTCTTTATCTCTTCAGGTCATAGAGACTAACAGACTCTAGATTGCTTCTCCTGTGACCACAGCCTGAAAATATCCTTCATACAATAACCTGGGGGAGGAGGGTTTCCTTCTCTAGAAGAGCCAACATGATGAGCTCTGTGATTTTCCCAGGGCTCACCTTGTCCTTTCTTCCATAGAGAAGAACTCTTCTTTGATTAATGAACCATTGTTTCAAATAACTTGCCCAGTTTTTAGAAGACACTTCAAGTGGGAGGATACATTTCATTCCTATTACTCAGGAGTCAGCAATGAAAGCTTACTATTAAAGATGAACTCTGAACAAATAGGTGCGCATTTGGTTGCATGTGTGCTTTTGTACTTAGACATTTGTAGTGTTAAACTACAGGGAACAAAATGAACAAACCACAGTGTCGTCCTTGCGTGAGTTCCTGTGTGTGGAGCAGGATGCATGGGTGATGACTCTGCACAGCGCTCAAGTTCAACTTAAACATAAACGGGAAAAGCTGGCACAAAGCGTTGCCACAGCAGTAGCTTCAAAATGAGTTTCTCCTTAAATTCTCTAGCCTTGTAACTAAATAGTGCTTGTAGGAACAGCTATAATTTCTGCCCAGCATTGCTTAGTTTAGTTTGACCTGAAACTGCAGGCATTATCTGAGCTTATAGATACATAGCAATTGTTCCTAATTTGCCTGTCTTTTCTTTGATGTCTTAGATGGAGGCTCCACAAAGAGTGATTCCTGTGATTCTTCAAAACTGCCTTTCCTATTCACTCCTGGCTAGACTTGCTCCGGCCTGGAACAGAACAGGCCATCTCTTGGTACAAGGTGACTTTGTGTTTGCCAGCCATTCGGACCTTCTGAAGTAGAGTACTTCTCTGTGTACATCTGTTTGTAATTTCAAGGTGTCTTACTTTTAGAGAAGAGTTCTTAGCTCCAGCTCTAAACATCTTCAGACAAGCCCAAATAACACCACTGTCATCTCCTTGGGTGGTATATGCTATATATATGCTATATATGCTGCTTTAAAATGTTTTTATTATTATAATACTTAGTGCTTAAGAATAAAATTTATGAAGGATTTGATAAAATAAATACTGCTTGTCAGTATTGTTGGATCCAAATGACCATCTTGAAATTTGTGCTGAAGTCTGATGGTTTTCTAAGTATCTTATAGCAAGAGATAATTTTTTTAAAGGAAGAATAGTGTATTTTGGTCCTTTTTAGTAAAGAGATAGTTTTTGACTAATATTTTTTATGAGCTGTCATTACATATTTGTTTTATAAATTTTATAGCTTTTATACTTTTCTTTAAATTGTTCTATTAATAATTATTTCTGAGTTACTATAATGTAGTATATCCTGTGAATTTTTTAAGGAAGAGATTTTCTTTCACATACGGGAAAGCAAAGTGCTGTTGGTAAGTAAAAATGTATAAACAATAGACAAAACATTAATACAGCTAACACTTGTTTTAAAGTCAATGTTAGGTTGTTACATTACCATTTGTCAGACATAATTATAATCAGAATTTCACTTGGGAAGTTACTTCTCATTCAAAATTTATATTTGCCTATTTGAGAGAAAATTCAGTTAATTGAGAGGAAAGGTGTATTTTACTTTCTCTACTCAAGAAAATGATTATGAAGATATTTATTTCTGCAAATAATTGGATATATTTTTAAATTATATTATCAAAATTGTTTTTCCCCATGTTGAAGCTTAGTTTTATTAGAATAGTATTTTTCTCCTGAAAGTATTATCTAGAAGAACATGAATAGTCTCAGGTATAGGCTTTATTATAACATCTTATCTCATTGTTTGATTGTTCTGCATAGTTACACTAAAGGCAGGCAGGCTCCTAAAAAGCCATGCTGAGGTCGCAGATGGATGTGATCATAAAACTCCAGGAGGCATTATTAATCATATATGATAGGTTTCCCCATCATCTGAGCATTGTTCTCAAATCCTCATCTGTAATCCCCAATTCCTGGAGCAGAGGAGCCTGTCCTGCTGAACCGTGTTTCCTGTCTGGCACTAGTTTTGTGTTTCAGTTAGACAGTAACAAACACTCTGATCTTATTCTGGATGAGTGAGTTTGGACCTAAGTTTAGCTTCACTGTGCTAGCATGAAATCTTAATTAGAGATTTAAGATAACAATTGAGAAAAGCAAATTTCTTCAGTGCCTGTTAGAAGATTGTTTTTACTTTTGTTTAAATGTAATATACTTCAGTAAAACCCAGAAATTTTAAGTGTATACTCACTAAAGTTTTACTAAGTAAATGCAGCCTTGTAACTGGTCACAGCTCAATAAACACTGTTACCAGCCTCCCTGAAGCTCCTGAAGCTCTTTTCTAGTACTGTCTTCTCCCCAGGGCGCCATAGGTACAACTGGTCAGCACAGTATTATTCCAGTGGAAAGCCTGGTATGAGGCCTCACTGGAATTCAGTAATGAATGTCAGAATTGTAGAAAGCATTTCTTTTTATTTTGAATTTTATTTTTATATTAATTACAGTTTATTCACTTTATATCCCAGATGTAGCCCCCTCCCTCATCCTCTCCAAATCCCACCTTCCCTCCCTTATCTTTTCCCATGCCCCTCTCCAAGTCTACTGATAGGGGAGGTCCTCCTCCCCTTCCCTCTGACCCTAGCCTATTAGGTCTCATCAGGACTGCTACATTGTTGTCCCCTGTGGCCTGGTAAGGCTGCTTTCCCCTCAGGGGGAGATGATCAAAGAGCCAGCCACTGAGTTCATGTCAGAGACAGCCCCTGCTCCCCTTACTAGGGTACCCACTTGGACAATGAGCTGCCATGAGTTACATCTGTGCAGGGGTTCTAGGTTATCTCCATGCATGGTCCTTGTTTGGAGTATCAGTCTCAGAAAAGACCCCTGTGCCCAGATTTTTTGGTTGTGTTGCTCTTCTTGTGGAGTTCTTGTCCCCTACAGGTCTTTCTGTCTCCCCCTTCTTTCATAAGATTCCCTACACTCTGCCCAAAGTTTGGCTATGAACCTCAGCATCTGCTTTGATACCCTGCTGGGTAGAGTCTTTCAGAGGCCCTCTGTGGTAGGCTCCTGTCCTGTTTCCTGTTTTCTCCCTCTTCTGATGACCATCCCATTTGCCTTTTGAGTGAGGATTGATCATCTTACCCTGGGTCCTCCTTGTTTAGCTTCTTTATGTGTACAGGTTTTAGTATGTTTATCCTATTTTATATGTCTAATATCCACTTATAAGTGAGTATATACCCTCTGTGTCTTTCTGCTTCTGGGATATCTCACTCAGGATGATCTTTTCTAGATCCCACCAGTTGCCTGCAAATTTCATGATTTCCTTGTTTTTAATTGCTGAGTAGTATTTCTTGAGTAGAAAGTATTTCTTGAGTGTACTAAAACCATAGGAAGTATCATTCTTCTTACTGTCTTTCTGTTTTAGGACCTCCCTCCTGCACATTCACAGTGATTCATATCTTTGTCTTAGAAGTGTAATTTGTAGAGTGTCAAACCTACGGTTAATTATTTGAACTTTACTATATGGATAAAAAATTGTTCTTAAAGTGTAAGTTGAATAAAGTACTATGTGTTACTAAAATGTTTCATTTGATAGGACGGAATACCAATTCCAGAATATTCATGCTTAATTTTTTTTTCAGTATTAGACATCAACGTAACAGAAACACAAGTTTGTCTAAGTATAGAAGTCTATACAATAAGATTGCCGCCACCTGAGGTATAAAATATTTGATTTCTATAACTTCCCACATTAGTATGTACATGTTATTACTAACATGCTACTCAATTTTAATTTTTAACATGGAAGCTGATAGAAGGTTTGTTAGCAAAAACATGTAATGTTTTCTGTCCTATGTAGGCTGTACATGTATACACACATACATACGTATTTGAAAACAGAAGGGGGACTATTTGGAGGGAGAAAAAATGGGCGGGACCTAGCAGGAGTGCAGGGTAAACACCAGAGACCAGTGTGATGACTGCAGACAATGTACAAATGTACACTTAAGTGTCTTAATGAAGTGTGCCATTTTGTGCTGACGTTTAAAAGGGCTTAGTGCTTGTTATTTGTTTGTTTGGATTCGGTGTTTTGAACAGAGTCCACTTTATAGCTCAGGCTGGTTATCAGTTGCTATCTGCCTGTCTGGCCTTAAACTTGCAGCTCTCCATGTAGTTCAGTCTCTGGAGTACTAGGATTGTAGGCACAGGACACCATGCCAGCTTTCAAAAAATAATAAATAAAGTGCATGCTGCTGAATGCTTGCAGGTCTGTGCTATCCCCAACATCTTTCTCCTTATCTAACATGGGGTCTTTGATCACATTGTTCCTGTTGAAAATATCATTAGACACATCCACATATCACCTCACCTTTCCTCGGCACAAATTTCTGTTTGTGCTGTTTTCCCACCTCGAAACATTAAAAATACAGTTTCATCTCAAGGCTTCTCTTGACATTCTAGTAGCATTTTTACATCTCTTTTTCATACAACATGCTTTCTATCCTCGTCTTCTACCTTCCTAATTCCCATGGCACCTGCTGTGGAGTCTTGTGCTCCGATAGTGAGTCACTCTGTATGTGTTACTTCGTTACTGGGTGTCACTGGTTCCCCAGTGACAGAGAAGGGTGAAGGAGGGTGAGTGGTTTTGCTTTCCAGGAAACATTTGGCAGTGCTTAGAGGATGTTTTTAATTACCAAAGTATAGGGAAGAAGGGTGTGATTTTTCTTGTAGCTTCAGAACTTTGTTTTAGATTCTGTTTTCTCTCAAACCAGTCATTCTGCATCATGCCAGTATATGGTGGCATTAATGACTCTCTGCCCTGGCCATCTTTATTTATTCATTCTACTCTTCCTTCTTTCCTTCTTCCTAACTTCCTGTTTGTTTTCTTCATAGCATAGCTTAGGTAACAGACTTCTCAAGCACAGTACATCACATCATAATGTTTACCTCTTGAGGCTAAAGAGATGGTTCAGAAGCTAAGAACATGTATTGTTTTTCAGAAAACTGAATTTGGTTCTCAAGACTCATATCAAATTGCTCACAAACACCTATAATCCCAGCTGCAGGGTATCTGCACCCTCTTCTGGCCTCCCTAAGCAATCAACTCCCCTACATGCATACACATTAAAGAAAAAGTGGGCATTGTGGTGCATGTTTGTAATGCTAGCACTGAAATAACACACAAGCAGATTTCTAGGCCTTTCTGGCAAGAGCACCAAACCAGTAAGACCGTGTCTCAAAATAAAGAGATACATTCCTAAGGAACGATTCACAAGGTTGCCCTCTGCCCTCCACCAGCATCTACACACATGTCCACATGCAGAAACATACACACAGATACACACAAAACATAAATACTTTCCTTTAGAGGTAAATTAGCATAATAATAATAATTCTGTAAATTACCATAATAAAATTGATTGAATAATAATAATTCTGTAAATTAACATAATAAACTTGATTGAATTAAGCATAAAATAAAAGCTATGGTTTGGAATATGGAAGGGAAAGCATGACCTAATGTATTCGGTGTACAATGGAGTGGAGAGGCAGGATGTGCTGAAACACTGATCAGTGTAAAGTGGATATATATATATATGTGTATACATACACACACATATGTATATATACAGGATTCAGAAAAGCATAAATCACCATGACATTTATAAAGCACTGTCAGTGTGTATTGTTTTAATGGTTTTTTTTTGTGGCAAATTCTTTGAGGACTTATATATTGAAACCTTATTTCAATTTAAAGCTAAAGGACTTTGATATTTCTCAGCACATTATAGAGGATTTTCATACCAACCAGAGTGCTGTCATTGAGAGACATTCCATTTTAAACAACTGGTGCTACGTTTTGCCAAGGTAAGATTTTAGGTGTAATGTGAAACTGGTATAATGGATACCTTTTACCACTGTGACCATAATATCTTACAAAAGCACTTATGGAAGGGAAGGTTTATTTGGGCTTACAGTTTTAGAGGGTTCAAATCATCATGTTTTAGCATATGCAGTGGCACATGCCTGTAATCCCAGCACTCAGGGAGGCAGAGGAAGGCGGGTCACTGTGAGCTCGAGGCTGCCTAGTCTACAAAGTGAGTTCAGGACAGCCAAGGCTACATAGAGAAACCCTGTCTTGAAACCATCAACCCCCCTCAAAAAAAAAAAAAACTATCCAGCACAGTTTATGTTATCAAAGGTCAAGAAACAGAAATGGAACAGGCGAGTGCTTGCCAGGGTATTCTTGTTCCCTCTTTTGTTCAGCCTGGGTCCCAGGCTATGAGGATACAATACCCATACTTAGGGTAAGCCTCCAGTTACTCGTTTCTGAGTCCTCACAGAGACATCTAGAAGTGCCCCTCAGCAATCTCTTAGGTCATTCTAAATCCAGTCCAGTTGACCATGAAGAGTGGATTCAGAATATAGTAAGAGTCTTATAATTTTGCTTCCTTAACATTGTGTGCAAAACTGTATACTACTTTGAACTTTGAACACATAACTGTAACACTATGAGTGACTGAAGCAGGCTGAGGAGGTGGCTTGCAACGGAGGGACACTGGCTGCTCTTGCAGAGGACCCTGCTTCAGTTCTCAGCACCCACGTGGCAGCTTGCAACAGTTTGTAACTACTTTCAGGGGATCTGGCATCTTCTTCTGGCCTCTTCATGCACAAATGTACTGCACATACGTTCATGTAGGCAAAACACTCATATATGAAAACAAAAATGAAAGTACTGGAACAGTTTTGTTGTAATAACAGAAGCTGTAACTTTCCCCTTTTGAATTACTGAAATAATTTGTTTTGTATTTAAATATTTGTTGGCTCTGCTTTTAATAAATAGTAAAATCACCAAATTTCTCAATGCTACAACAATCCTAATAGCAAAATTTATAAACACTTAGATAATAATGATTTATTATAATTTAATATAAACTGACTGTGTTTGTATTATCATCAGAAAATGATTCATTTATGATACAAAAATATTGAGAAGAAATTTTAACTTGCTCAGGAAAATTAAATAAAAGCTTATACATGGTAAAATATTGAAGGGGAAAGGATGTGATTCTGACTCACTTCTCTTGTAACAGACTTTTTTTGCAGTCTTCACAAGCACCAAGAATACTTGCAGATGGGAAAATTTTGTACTTCTATTTTGTGTGTGTTTGTGATTAGCACATTGTAGCAGTTCAACTTGGTTTTCCCTCACCATTTCAGTTATTAAGATTTAGTACAAGTAAAGACCATAATAAGCCCACCGTAAGGTCATTTTTAGTGGTGAAATGTTGAAAGCTTTTTATTAGGATTAGGAACAAGACAAGAATTTCAGTTTTGTAACTTCTATTCAACATAGTATTAGAAGCCCTAGCCTGTGGAGTTAGGAAAGAAAAGGAAATCAAAATTTCCTTTCATAATTTGAAAGGGAGAAGGTAAACTGTTTCTGTTGACCAATGATTTGATGCTACAAATAGAAAACCTTAAGGACCCTATCAAAACCTACAACTATGACAAGAATTTAAAACATTGCATGCCACAGAATCTTCTTCTAAAAATCTATTGTATATGCTGCACACCTGTAATTCCAGAATGCGGGAGGTTAAGGCAGGAGTATAGTGAGTTAAAGACAAACCTGGACTTACATAGCAAGACTGTGTCTCAAGCCACCACCAACAAGAAATATGAAATAAGAAAAACCAGCAGCATTTCTATGCTTTAACAAGGAATGATAAAGAATTGAATGAAACAATTTCATTCAATTCTTGGTAGAATATCTACCAAAAAGAAGTTGTATAATAAGTCTAACCAAAGAGTGAATGTTAAAATTATAAAACACTTCTAAAAGAAATTGACAAAGACACAAATGATTGGAAAGAAAATTCAGTCATGGATTAGAAGCATTAGACTTATTAAAATGTCCACAATACAAGAAGTAATCTATAGATTTTATGTAATCTTTACCAAAATATGCCATTTTTCAAACAATAGGAAAAAATCAATTTCATGTAGAAGTAAAAGGCCCCAAGGAGCTAAAGCAATCTCTGAGATATCACACTCTGATTTCAAACTTTCCTACAAACTTGCAGTAACTAAAACAATATGATGCTGGCATATAAGCAGACACATAGACTCAGAGGCCAGGACAGCATGTCTGTAAGTATGTATTTAAAATCAATTGATTTTCAGAAAAACTGTCTTGAAGACAGATAGAGATGATGGTCTTTTTCAAAAAGGGTGCTGGGAAAACTATATATCCACATGTAAAAGATTTAAATTTAGACTCTTATTTCTCACTTTATAAAAAAATCCAATAATTTAGTGCTATGTAGGAAAACTTCATGACTTTGATCTGAAGATGATTTTTTTTATATTGCCTGAAACACTGTACTACAGAAGTAGAAATGGTTCCAAAGAACTGCACCAACTAAAAAGCTTTTGCATGCCAAGAAAAATATTCAAAAGAACAAGGACCGTCTATGAAGTAGGAGAAAATACTTCTAAACCACATTTCTCTTAGAATATTGTGTGCTTCTATATTAGAATGCTAAGTACCAGAAAATGTATAAGCAGTACAGACTTATTTCTCTTATAAGCAGTACAGTCTAGAGGCCAGGAAGTGTGAGATCAAAGTGCCCACACATCAAGTCTCTACCAAAAGTTTGTTGCATGTCCCATGGGGTGTAGGCAAAGAGAGGGCCTACACACAAAGGACCAAAATCACTGTTTTACAGGAACCCAAACCTGAAATAATTGCATCAATGTACTCCTTGTGAGCAGAACCTTCATAACCTAATTACCTCTTAAAATGGTTACAATGTTAATTAAATTTCGGAGGGAGCAAACACTCCATCCACATGGGACAGATAGAAGGGAACTCAGTTCACTAGCAGGGAAACAACTTCATTTTCAAATGATCAAAGAAATAAACCCTTCCCCTACTCCTCCTCCTCCTCCTTTCTTTTTCCACCTTACCTCTGCTTCTTGAGTGCTGAGATTAAAAGCAGATGCCATTACACACAACTTAAATTAAGACAAAATTTATCCAGGTAGCCAATAAATACATGAAAAAAATCATCAGCAACAACAATAGGAAAATACAAATTTAAGTCATAATGAGATATCACCTCATATCTGTTATAATGGCATTACCAAAAATCAATAAATGTAGAAAGGGCCTTTGTCAAAATCATAATATTCCTTCATGATAAAAGTCCTAAAGAGAATAGAACCTGAGAAAGCATACCTCAACATAAAACAGCTATATGACACATCCACTAGCCAACATCCTAAATGGGGAAAAATTTGAAACAATCACATTAAAATCAGGAGTAAGAGAGTAATGTCCTCTATCCTTATTCATTTTCAATATAGTACATGAAGCCCTAGCTAGACTAGTAAGACAAGAGAAGGAAACTAAAGTTAAATTATCCCTATTTAATTATTTTTGCAGATGTTATGACATATAAGAGAGCTCAAATACTGCACTAGAAAATTGTAAGTGATCAACACCTTCAGCAAGTGGCGGGATACAAAATTAACTTACAAAAAATAATATCTTTCTACATACCAATAACAAACATGCTGAGAAAGGAATCCGTATAAATATGTCCATTCGCAGATCTTCAAAACAAACAAGCCAAGGGGGGGGAAAGCCCAAGAATAAACCTAATCAGGAAGTGAAAGATCTCTAAATGAAAAATTCAAGTTACTTAAATAAATGGAGGAAATCACTAAAAAATGGAAATACCAATGTGGAACTCTGCTGGATATGACATTTTCAGATAGCCTCCATGTTCCATCTAGAATGGTGGACTCCCTTTTCTCAGCAGAGTTCTCTCTCCATCTCATCTGGTGACCCCAGATCTCATAAGAAGCATCACACAGCCCTCAGGGAAGATTGCAGGCTGGGTCAGGGTAAGAAAACCTGCTCAGCAAGGATCTGGTTATTCATGAAAATACCCCACCCTATGCGAAGGAGATCTCAGCAATGACCTTCAATTGTACTTGGAGATTCACTTGCCCATAGGATAATTAAGAATTGTGTTCTCCTTCTTGTGATAGGACCATGCTAGTACAGGTAAATGAGGTACTACAACTAAATCATGTAAATCAAGTATCCTTAGCACCTCTGACCCCAGTGACTCAAATACATTCACCCTCAAAACCCCTCCCACTGCTGAAGGTCTGTAAGTCCCTGATTTCACAGGAAATAAGCTTGTGTGCTGCATGATGCCATCATCTTTCCACCATGACCACCTGAGATTCATCATTTGTTCTGGGGGATGGAGGGCTCCCCTCTTCCCTGGCAAATTGCCACTGAATGCCCCAAACTTGGCTGCCAATCAAGTAGCTACCTGCCCACTTCTGAGAGCTTCTGGACCACCCAGGCCTTGACTGCAAGTCAGCCAGCCATATGCTGCTAGCTGCAATGAGCTTCCACCATTCACCAGTGGGGCACTGCCTCAGCAGCCATTAACCTGCATTTCACTGAACCTGCCTTCTGGCAGGTCTCAAGCCTCTGTCATGCTTAGCACAGCAGCTTAACCAAGGTGCTGTAACACGTTGGTATCTCCATAGGCTTTGGAATGCCCAAGATTCCATTGCCACCAGCAATCTCATTCTAAGAGAGCTACCTGTAACCCCCTGATGGAAAAATTCATTTCCACTTCCCACGGTGAGACCGGGAGCTTTGCCTAACACACAGGCCTCACCCTAAGGCACTTGAGCCATTCATGAGAAACCCAGAACCCCATCCTGGTCCAGAAGCCTGGCTTCCAGTGTGGTGTTCATCCTGTCAGAACCTGGCAGCCCTGAGCCATGCTCAGCAGTAGCAGGTTGGGGAACATCAGACAACAAGCTGGTCCTGGGAATCACCAGGCTCTCGCCGAAGGGAGAACAACAGACCTTTCATGCCAATGGACTGGAGAATTAATTCTGTGAAATTGACCATCCTACCAAAAGTAGTTTACAGATTCAGTGCAATCTCAATTAAACTTTATATGACTTAGAGAAGAAAAAGCTCTGAATTTCACATGAAAGTACAAAAGGCCAGGGATAATGATAGCAAGCCTAGATTTAAAAAATAATAATAATGATGGAAGGATTACCACACAAGATTTTAAGTTATATTGCACATCGATAGTAATAAAACAGCAAGGTATTGGCACAAAAAGAGGCATATAGATCAGTGGAACAGAATAGAAGACTCCGTTTCAAATGCACATAATGACAGCCATGAGATATTCGACCAAGATGCCAAAAACAGACAGTGAAGGAAAGACAGATGACAGACACAGACAGGCTGAGGAAACTGGATACACACATACAGGAGGGTGTTAGTTCATACCTACTGTCACACACAGAATTAACTCCAGATCAAAGGAGTGTGTTAATTCATATCTATCATCACACACAGAATCAACTCCAGATAGACCAAAGACTTCCATCAGGAACTTCAAAGACTGAAACCCTACAAGAAAACAGTCTGTACCCTACAAAATGCAGGTGTAGGAAAAGACATTTTTGGTAGGGCACCACTGACCCAGGAATAGTCCTAACAATTTGCAAATGGGTACTGATAAAACTAAAAGTACGTGTAGTGTATGAAAGCATTAAGTGAAGAGGGAATCTGCAAAGCAGGAGAGAATCGGCAACAGCTCTACATCCAACAGAGGACTCATGCCTAGAGTATGCAAAGAACTTAAAAAGATAAAGAACAAAGAAAAAGAATCCAATAAAATCGGTGCTATGAATCTGTAGTGGTTTAAATGAGAATGTCTCCCATAGGCTCAGGCATTTGAAAACGTGTTCCCCAGTTGTCAGTGCTAAAAGAAAAGATGTAAGTATCATATGTAAGATTTTAAAGAAAAAAAGTAAGTATCACATGGAAAGGGAATGCCAGCATACTGTTCATGAGAATGTAAATTAGTACAAATATTATAGAAACAATATGGAAATTTCTCAAAAGGGTAAATGGAATTTTAAAATGTAATTACCATATGATCATCAATCTTAATAATATATTAAATATATGACTAATCCAAAGGAAATAAAACCAGTATGTCAAAGGTATTTCTGCACTCATACTCATTGTAACACTATTCCCAGTTGCTGAAATGTGGATGCAGCTTAAGTGTCTATCTAGGTGGAATACACATAGATGTGGTTTGTGTAAACAATGTAGCAAAATTCAGCCCCAAGGCAACCCTAAGTGGATGAGAAGCCTGAAACAGTGATACTAAGCAAAATAAGCCAGGCAGACAAATCCTGTGAGGTCTTCTATGTAGCAGCTAACAAGTTGGGCTCGTAAAAACAGTGTAATTGCAGTTACCAGGGGTAGGAAGGACCTTTCTACTAGATCAGAATAATCTCAGACACGCAAAAATATCGTTACCACAAAACTTGTACATTTGTGAAGTAATGTATATATTAAGTTGATTAAGACTTCTACAACCTTTTTTTAAAAAATTCAAAGCATGCTATATATAACTAAAATTTACATCTTACGATAAAAGATTTAATGCAGTTGTATTTGGAGCTAGGAGAAAGTGGTTTGTTATTTGCATTTGGATAGTAACATAATTGCTAAGTCTTTTGGAATACTTTCCAAATCACAGTTCGCTTTTCAAATAACATTGAACTATACTTAATCACTGACATAATGTATCAAATCGCATTTTTCGTAGTATGAAAATGGGGCAGATAATAAATGTTCTTCATACTGCACCGCCTGATTGTCCCTTTCATTCCTTTGAAGATTTCCGGAGGCACTGGGATGACCTGGTAGGAAGCAGATGTATCTCATGCTAAATGTTACTCCATCTCTTTTTTGCCATGTAACCTAAAAATAGCCTCCTCTGAAGTGGTTTACATTGTGTGCTTAAACTATAGTATGGCTACAAACTTCCAGAGGATCGTGGAGGAGAGATGAGAACATACTGCAGCGTCTACTTCAGAATGATCAACGAAAGGACCTTCACGTATCCTTTGCACACTAGTGATAGCAGATACTTTCTGCCTTCTGAGCCAACCCTGCCTATGCCCCATGCTTAATAGACCACTTTTTCTGCACAGTTGTTTTAGCTTAGAGGAGTCTTCTGTGGCTGGTTGTTTTGGGTGTTCTGGTTGTGTCTTGGACACAGGCCTTATGTAGCCCAGGCTGGCTGGGCACTCACTGTGTATCCCAGGCTATTCTTGGATTTCTGATGCTCTGACTGTTTTCAAGTGCTGGGACTCTGACACACACCACACAATGCACTTTATGCTGGGGACAGGATTGAACTCAGCACTCACTTAATGCGGGCGTTCACTCCAGCAGCTGAGCTGCACCCCTGACCGCTCATCTCTTAATAGAAGACCCATCAGATCTTAATTGTTTCTAATATGAAACCACTGTGGTGACAGGACGGAGGTTGAGATAAGATCTTTTCGTGTAAGTTGATCCTTGAACTGGTTATCCTCCTGCCTCAGTGTTGGAATTATCACCATACCAGGTTATGAGGAGTTTTCCTTAAGGACTATTGCAAAATTTTCGAAGAGAAAGAACATTCAGAATAGAAAAATATATGTGTGTATATGTATTTCGTAATAGAGCCTGAGACGCCCATCATAGAATTCTCCTTAGCCAAGAGCGCCCCCCAGTGTTCTTTGGATGTTGTTGAAAGGGTTAGATTAAAAGTTCCTGGGGTCTTCCCTTTTGAAAGATTGGTGTTTTAGATTAGACTTGCACTTAGCACACTGCACTGACTTAGGAAAATGGCTCTCACTTTAAAACATACACTGAAACAGAACACAGTGTTTAGGTGGAGCGCTGAAATCTTTTTTGGCATGGCTTTCACCACTGAGAGGCTGGGATTTTGAGATGGACCAACCAATGTATCCTCACTGTGCTCTTTCCTAACCAAGACAATCCACCAAACCTACAGCTGACACTTGCCAGCAATTCCCTTTCATTAGATGCCAACACTATCCCAGGTGTTTACATTCTCAGCAGAAAAGGTGCTTTTCTTGAAGGACTGCTTTTGAAGTTTGAAAATAATGGTCATGTGTTTTTTCTCTGGGCCAACTTTTCCATTGTTTTTGAAGCTTGGGGCAGTCTATTGTCTGCTACTTTTGTCTTTATACTTGGTACAAGCAATGGCACATACCTTTTAAATATTTCCTGGAATAGTGTAATCTACTTAAAATTCTTCTTACAAAATGGGGACACAGTGATTACCTTGCTTGTGTCATATCAAGGCCTACTACGTTGCCTCCCCCACCCCACGCTACCACCCACATATATAATTTGTTAATAAACTTAAAAGTGAAGGAATGCTTTTTAGCTTTTGCATCTGTAGAACATAACATGAATAGAAGCCGTTTATCTGTCTTGTCAACATTACCGCCTTCTACAAATGAGACTTTCTGTCTTGTAGAGAGAAACCTCCATGTTGTTCTTTCTTTACCCTTGCTCAGGTATCCTCTTACCTGCATCAGAAGTCAGCCCATTCAGTTCTTCCCGAGGGTAGATCTGGACGGTGTGCTGAAAAGCTTTCTTTCAGACTTGAAGTCTAAACTGCCGCATTTATGTGGATTTCCCATCAAGATGACAAATAAGCCATGCTACTACACACAGGAGCTAAGCAGACCTCAGGTGCAGGTGAGATGTATTCTTCTTACCTTACCCACTTTTGCATGCTAATCACTGCTTTCTCGTGTCTCTTGATTCTTCAGTAGAACACAGCTCTCTCTGCCCGGCCTTTCACACATGCTGTTCATTGTTACTGTTACCTGTTCATCCTGCTGTTGGTTGTGCTTCTGTTTGAGTTGGCACACAATAGTTTCTGATATGTTTCATACCGATCTGGGTATGCATGAGCTGGGTTATTGGCGATTAAAGAGAGAGACAGTGTGAGGTGTTCAGCTGGGCATATTGAACTGTGGGTGCAGGCCTGCTCTATACAAGTTGGGTGCCCACTGGGAGGAGTCAGAGAAGAGCTTCTGGAAAGCTGGGCAGGAGGAAGGCAGACAAGTGAAAGGCGAAAGGGTGCTTTGGGGTTTCTGCTGCAGTCCTGACTTAGCATCTCAGGGAAGAAGACACACACTGACTCAGACTCGGAGTCTGTATTTACTAGAGCTGGAAGTTTTAAGAGGAGTTTTAAGGGAGAGTTACTTCTGGCGTCGCCCCACCTGCATTTATTATATTATTATTTCTCTCATTTAACATATCCCAAGCAGCCCCCAGATCCACTCCTCCTCTGCTCCCCTTAGAAAAGCACAGGCTTCTCGGTGATATCAAGCAAACCGGTACAGCAAGCACAGTAAGAGCAGATACAAGACTCACGTGGGCACAGACACTGCTGAGCAGTCTTTCCTGTGGCCCAAGGCAGCACCTCGCTCCTGCCTTCCCTATTTCACCCCTGGCGTAAGTCCAGGAACGTAGCCATTGTCACAACTCCCTAGACCGGGCTTCAGTTACGTCCTGCTCTGTGCTTTATGCAGATGAAGGGTTGTGTCTGTGTTTCTGTGTCTAGTGCTTGTGACACTCACCCATGCTTTTCCACCAAGTGACGGTCGTTCACTTTCATTTCCAAGGTTACATGGTTAGGCCCTAGCTTGTTTACCTTCCCATCACACTGTTGATTGGCGGCTGGATTATGCACGCTATTTGCAGTAATGTGGTAGTGAGCGCTCAGGCGCACAGTCTCTAGACTCAGGCACGAGTAAATGCAGCATGAGCCTCTCCAGGGTTAGGACATACGCCAGCCGACCTCCTGAGGCGGCTGTAGCCTTTGTGCACCTCTTGCCGTTGCTCCTTGCCCTGTTCACATGTGGCATTGTCAATCCTTACTCAGCAGTTCTGCAGATGTGCTCACTATCATGTGCTCTCATGTACAAGCTCGTGATTATGTATGTATCTTGGGTAACTGCCTTGAAGGCCTGTACCAGTTGACAGGGTTCCAACAGTGTGCCAGTCTGAGTTCTCCATCAGCCGTGGACCACGTTCTCACCTCCATTCTGCAACAAGCTTTCTTTCTCTTAATGCTGCTGCTTAGCAGCAGTTTTAATTCATAGTCTAAATTAACAGGGTATTTCTTTATGATAGCCATACTTTTGTCTCAACTTTTAAAAATACATCTACATTCCAAAATCATACATGTATTTTCTATGATGTCATCAAACATCCACTTGGAATTTATTTTGTAATATAGTGTGATGTGGCAATTATATTTCTTTGTTAATTAGATATATTTGTCCATACAATGATACTGAAAACCCCCAATATTTTACAGAAATACCTTTCTCTTAAGATTACTCTCTACATGTGTCTCTGAGCTATCATTTGTCTCTGATATACTTATTTATCCTTCCACAGATATAGCAGAAATATAGTTACTGCTAAGCTTTACAGTTAGAGCAAATAGTGTTGTATGAACATTAATGTTAAGATTTTTAAATGTAGGAAAGCATCTTAACTATTTGTGTGGGGGGTACTTGGTGATTGAACCTAGGACCCCAACATAGTAGGGAAGACTCCGCCATTGGACTCTGCTCAGCTCCCTGTTACTCCTTGACACAAGGTCTCACTAAGCAGTCCGGGTTGACCTTGCTCCTTCTGGGCTTCTGAGGTCACAGGCCTGTGATCCAGCAGCATCTTAGCTCTCCCTGGCCCATGCATCTCCGCAGACACTTTGTCGTAGCTTGTCAGCTTATGCATGCACATAAGGCAGGTCTGTGCACGCGTGGATACACATGTGTGCCTATAGATGCTACTGAGGGCTTTCTACCTATGAACTCTTCCCGTCACTCTATGTTCAAATATACTCTATTTAATATTTCAGTGCCACTATATCGATTAGTACTTACATTTATATTTAGCGTTTGATGGTTTTAATGAATGGTTTCTTAAACTTTTGTGTATCTTTTATTTCAAAATACGTTTAGATTTCTGCTGCTTCCTCTTTTGAAACCTTCTTTTTCTTAAGAGTGTTTTTCTTACAGAGAAACCCTGTCTGGAAAAAAGAAAAAAAAAAGTGTGTCTGTCCTAGGGATGAATGGATGGCTCAGCAGTCAAAAGAGCACATTTTAGGGACCCGGTGCCTTTAGCTGCTGCAGGCGCTGCGCTCGTGTGTGTGTGTGTGTGTGTGTGTGTGTGTGTGTGTGTGTGCACCATCACCAACAGAAAAATAGAGCATTTGGAATTTCTTGTCTTCCTGGTGACTTGAACTTGACATTGTACATTGTACGTGGCTCAGCGTGTTGCTTAGAGTGGTAAGAGTCACTGTGGCTGCTGGGTTTTATTCAGCACTCTCAGGAGAGAGCACCGGAGCCTGTCAGCAGGCTAGCATTGCCTTTCCTCAGTCCAGGGAGTCTTTCAGCCCATTCTGGAAAAGGTCCTGTGCCCACCATGTCTTATGCAGGTCCTTCTGAGTGTCTTCTGTACTGGTGCACGGTGGTAGCTAACCCTGTGCTTGGGAAACCTGCCTCTCTGTTACTGCGCTCCTAATTCAGAGGACTTTGCTCTGTATTTGGAAATCTATCAGGAGCCACAAGCTCTCCAGAGATCACTCACGTGGGCTACCGTCTCTCTCTGCAACACTCAGGCCTGTCTGACTCTGTAGCTTCCTGCTCTGGCGATTAGACTGACATTCGCTGACCTCTGTGGCCAAACACTACGCTCACTCAGTCTTTTCAGCTGTCATGCTGTCTCATTTCCAACTTGCCAGACCTTCTTTTGTTTAAAAAAGAGTTGTTAGTATTTATTGTGTGTGTGTGCTTTATCTGCACACTTATCTGTGTACCATGTGTGTGCTTGGTACTGGTGGATGTGAGCCGGCATGTGGGTGCTGGGAACTGAAGCTGTGTCCTCGTGAACTCTCTCTTGCAAGCCCCACCTGCAGCCACCTTTTCAGGTCTGGTCACACCCACGTCACTTGTCACTGGCCAGCCTGTGGACTGTGTTCTTGGGCAAGGCCCACACCACTGAATGCATAACTTTGGGAAGTTGAGCATTAGTGGCTACAGACAAAGCCACTTCCTGAGAAGAAGGTGTGAGGGACAAATGCTTATTTCTTACCTATATGATAGTCTCAAAGTTTAGACAGGTATTTGTTTTTAGTTTGTTTGTTTGTTTGTTTGTTTATTTGTTTGTTTGAGACAGGGTCTCACTATACAATACCGGATGTCCTGGAACTCATTATGTAGTCCAGGCTGGCCTTGAACTCACAAAGAGCCACCTGCCTCTGCCTCCTAAGCGCTGGGATTGAAGGTGTGCACCACCACATCTGCCTGGCATAACATTTTTTTAATATATTTTTAGTTGGCATAGTATTTTTTAAGTTAGGTTGCTTGCCAAGTCAAACCTAAGGCACTGTTGCTGAGTGGACACTTGCGTCCTGCGTTTGTATTGACAGCTGCCGCATACTCCATATTTGCAGCCCATGTCTGGTCTATGAATAATAAATCCAGACAACTGGCGAGGCTTTGCTGTACTGCAGCACTTAGCTGACATTCTTGCCTTCATACAGCTACTGACAATAAGACTTCATTATATTTTTGTCTGTTCTTTTGTGTGCCAGCTGCTTTTATGTACACTAGCCCAGTTACTTTTCAGTGGTGATTCTTGGAAGAATTGCTTTCTCAAAGTACAGAAGGACCCACAGAGTAGCGTACAAGTATCTTAACCAACATAAAGTTAAACACATTTCTCACATTTCTGACTTAAAATTGAAGCTTGGCCAGATCTTAGCCCAATGATGGAGAAAATACAATAAAAATGAGCCTTAGGTTTGTGGCCAAGAGCGCAGGCTCTGAAACAGGTTGCCTAGCTCGAGTTCCTTGCCAGTGTGGATTTGAAGCAGTCCTTGGGTCTCTTCGCGCTTCTGTGTCCTCATCTGAGAGTGGGCTGAGGTGACAGTGGCAGTGATTAGAGTACTGGCCCCTGATGACTGTGGGAACAGTCTAGGGTGGAGTTCAGGGCACAGGCTTGTCAGAGGCAGCCCTTAGGAGCTAAGCAAGTAGAGGCCATGAAGGAAGCAGAGAAATTAGCAGCCAAAGCAGGTTCCAGCTGTGGCCAGCCCTGTCAGGAGACCATTGTTCTTCACTGGTGACAAAAACCTGCTGCACAGCCCTTATGAGCTTTCTAAATGCAGTTGACTTTCTAAAAAACTAAATTAACAGGAGGATTTAGCCAGACTAGCCTTGCTTTTAATTATGGAAAATTTCAAAATTACTTGAGAGAAAATGAATTTTAAGTGCAGGGTAAAATGGATATTTTAAAACAAGTATCAGATAAAATGTTATTTCACCTTACGTAAAGCCAATAGATTTGCTTCTATACATGCAGCATTTAAAAAGCATCTTTACAAAGCACAGTGTCATTATTATACCCCACAGAGTGAATGACAGTCCCTTAGCACCACCAAATACCAGGCCAGGTCCTGTTCTCAGTTAGCTCAGACTTATTTTTAAGGGTTTTGTCAAGTGAAAATCTAAACAGGACCATTTCAGACCATGCGCTGCTGTCTGCTAGGGCCACTTCTACAGCAGCCCTCATGCCGCTGCTTGCTGGCCAGGGGCCTCCCTGGGGCAGAGTCTCCGTTCAGGGGCTGAGCAGGTGCTTCCATGTGTCATGCCATTAATGCTCACATAGCCTTCATGCTTCCATGTCTCCTACAATCCAGGGCTCTGTTTTAAGCAAGACAGACAAGTGTAGTGCCACGAACGGAACCCAACCTTAACAAATAATGAAAATCTAGTCTGTCATTCTGGTTATTTTTCAGTTTTCCCTCCCCAGACGTTTTCTATCACTGCCCGTTACTGCTAGTGTAGGTGAATTATGCCACCCTGGATTACCTTATGTCCAGGTGTAGCAGTCACAGGGAGTGTGTGTGTGTGTGTGTGGTGTATGTATAGTATGTGAGAGAGTATATGTGTGTGTGGTGTATGTATAGTGTGTGTGTGAGAAAGTGTGTCTTTGTGTGTGTGTGGTGTGTGCGTGTATGTGTGGTATATGTATGGTGTATGTATGAGAGTGTATGTGTGTGATATGTGTGTATTTGTGTTGTGTATTCCTGTGTGGATTGTCTGTGTCTGGGTGTGTAGTGTGTGTGGTGCTTAAATGTGTATATGAGTATGTGTGTGTGTTTGTGGAGGAGGTTGTATGTGGTGTGTGTGTGTGTGTGTGTGTGTGTGTAGGGGGTTCTATGTGTGCTGCTAACCCTAAGCATACTGACCTCTTTGCTGCAGTCTGCCTAGAGAGACAAGCTGATAGATATGGATGCTTTCCTAGGTAACAGGAGGGAAGGGACGGCCCTGATTTTCCCACACTGAATGTGTGGGTGCAGCAGAGGGACTTCCCCCTTGAGTAAAATCCAGGCACATAGCCTAGATAAGTGAAGGCTTCTCCAATCCTTTTAACAGTTACCTTAATAGTGGGCCACCACTGGATGTCTGTAAAACTTGTAGTTTACGTAACTTTTATCCCTATACAAACTTGTATACATTATATGTCAGTGCTAGAAATTAAAGGTCAACTAAGATACATCTTCCAATGACTTAGACAAATGACATGTATAATGAAGCATATGCTTTTTAATTGGCTCACAGCTTCACAAAGCTTCAGTTCATTGACCATATAAGAATACTTAAGTTCTGTGAATTATTTATGATCTCATCTGTTGTTTACATAGGCCATTTTTGTTTCTTTCTATACATTTTGAATATAAACCTAAAAGTTTCCTCCCTTGTGGCTATGTACAGCATTTAAAAATTAAGACAGTGAATAATAATGTATTGACAAACTAGATTGCAAAGCAGTCTCCTGGAAACTATTCGCACCAGGTGCGCCCTTCTCAGACAGGAGAGGAAAAGCAGGTGTGAATAAAGCCTCTCCCAGGCACACACACACACATTCTCTCAGAAGGCAAGAGGTTTGTTCTCATCCAAATCTGCCTGGGGTTTTTCTTCGTGTATCTCAAGTAATAGCTACATTAAAGAAAAGAAGACATGCAGTTTGCGAAACCCAAGGATCTAAAAAGCAAGTGTTCTTTTCTGGTCCGTAATTAATTTCAACTTAGTTCTTATATATGTTTCTTTCAAGTCAATGGGAAAACATTTGTTCTCCAGAGTAACTCCATCAGTTTTGACATTTCTCTTGGTAGTTGGTAGAATTGCAGCCCAGGTTAAGAATTATTATGATAATGCTAGCATAAGAATCTTTCTTATGATAGCATCTGTGTGCTTACATAGCATGCACAGCCCAAGGACGGTGGTCTTCGGGAAGTATATCAGTGGGTTATCTGGGCTGTCTGCAGCCAGTGAGCAGATAATGTCTGTCTGCACTGGACAGCCAGAAATCTAGAGAGTAGATGGTGCAGGTCTGCTGTTGTGATATTAAGCTGTGATTAATATTTTCTATTGATATAGCTTCTGGTAAAGCTGCTGTTAGTCCTAAACAGCTGAATAACCAAATCACCACACAGAGACTGGGATTTATTTAATTAACCTAGAACACAATGCTGGGCAATAGTCACTCCATCCTAAACCTCCAAGCCCTCATAGTTTCCTCACATTTAGATTTTACCCATTATACTTGCTTTTTGTGAAATCTTAGGTCCAGTTCATTCTTTCCACGTCATTCCAAGATCTCTCCCCTGCCTCTGTTCTCCCAGCTCTCTGCCACCCACTGCTTCCTGTCCTCTGGCTCCTCCTTCTCTTCCTGCTTCCTTTCCCTTGCTCAACATTGTGGCTAGTTGCTTTATTTTGGCATGTTTACACAAAGTTGAGACAGGTGATGCTTAGAATAAGTATCACAATTCAATGTCCGGATTGAAACCAGAGAGTGGGGGAGAGAAATCAACATTGGAATGAACACGGGTAAAATGTTCCAAAAGAACATTATACCAACAGTCTGCCTACTGATGGCTGAGGTTGATCAAAGTGTTTATGCTTGACCTTTTCAGCAAAGCTAGCACAGGCATCGCTTCCCCTCCTTTCTCCTTCCAAATGGTTGATATGTGCATCTGACTGGCAGGCATGAAGTCAGCCCCCGAAGTGCAAATGTGAACATGACACTTCAGCTTCACAGGTTCTTGTTCCAGAGGAGCAATGGCAAGAGTAGAGTAGAGGTTTCGTACCGGTCCACCATGCCCACTGCAAGGAGGGAAGGACTTCCTTCCGGACCTGCGTGGGCACTGGTAGTCTTTGTTCTTATGATGGCTTGACAAGAATGGTATGCAAGGTTTTACTGACAACTTTTAGTTTTGATGGTTCCCTTTTACAGAGAATATTCTAAAGAACATCTCCCCCTCTTTCATTATTCAGAGCCATAATATTTGTGTTCTCCCAAAGTGTATATACTGAAGCCCTGGATTTTCTTAATTTTAAGCCATTTCATTTTTATGTGCTTTGTTATACCTAGTAGATAATTGGATCAATCTTATAGTTTTCTGTGCCTACTTATAATTCTGATCTCCCAAAACTGTCTCCTAGTCTCTTCTTAGCCAAATTAAAAAACTGGAACTCAGTAGAGAAAAGAAAAACCAGTTGTTGTGGTTTGCATATTATTTCTATAACATTTACATTTTTTGTTTCAAGCTGTGACATTTTTGATCTCTAAGGATAAAAAGATAAATCTGTGGCCTACATTTCATTGTCAAATTTTACTGTATTGCCTTACTTTCTGTTGGTAAATACCATGAACAGAAGCATCATGGGGTAGGAGGGTATTTGACCCACCAACTGATAGTCAATCATTGAGGAAACTGCAGGCAGGAATTCAAGTAGGAGCAGAGGCAGGTACCCTGGTAAAGTGGCACTGCCTGGCTTGCTAAGCGTGCTTTCCCATCTAGCCCAGGAGCACCTGCCCAGCAGTGGCGCTGCCCACAGGAGGCTGGCCGTCACACATCAGTGATTAGTCAAGGAAATACCTCCACACACATGCTCATGGACTAGGCTGATAGAGGAGGTTACCTATTCCCACGTGACTCTAAGTTGTGGCAAGTTGGAAAACAAAACAAAACAAAACCCTAAAACTAACTAGCGCAGTTATTTTTTCACAGAAGCACAGTATACATTCATTTCAAAACACTAGAAACTTTCCATGAACAGATAAACAAACTGTCATATACATACAGAGTGAGCCACAAGAAAGGAAATTCTGATACATGCCACAACATAGCTGAATATTTTAAAAAAAATGCTGTATTAGGTGAAATAACCCTGACACTAAAGAAAATCTCGTATAATCCTGTATGAAGTATCTAGAATGGCGGATACCTAGCAAAAGAAGATAAGGCAGGAGTTGCTGGAGTCCCAGAGTAAGGAAAAATGTGAAATAGTATTTACAAGGTACAAGGTTTTTGCTTTTGTGTGGGATGAAGATTGCTGAGCTTACCAGTTCAGGGGTAAGAATGTTGATGCCCCTGAATGACGCAATGGTTCAATGGTAAGGTTTCATTCATTCATTCATTCATTCGTTCATTCATTTGATATTAAACATGGAGCACGACCTGCATTTACCTGTCACCACGTGCAGGGGCCATGCTAATCTCTGTGTTGTTCCAGTGTTCACCTGTGTGCTCAGAAGTGAACATGGTAAAGTTTCATTTCACACATGCACAAAGTGCTTAAAGAAGAGGACATGCTTGTATCTCTTTAGTGTACCTAGCTGGTCAGTGTGACAGATGTCTGCTGAGTTATTGCTAGGCACCAGAGACTGCGGTAGACAGTGGAAACACACACAGGTGCAAGACAAACAGCCCTGTCCTGAAGTCAAAATCTCACATAAAGGTTCCGTGCAAATGTACCCACCCTTTCATTAGATCTTTTCGGCAAGTTTCTCTTAGTAACTTGAGAGGAGGTAGGAAGAAATAAGCCATAGTTCACACACTTCAAGAAGATAGAACATGGACACTGAAGCAGGTCACGCTACCTTGTCCTAGTTTATTAATGACAAATAGCAGACGCTTGGGACATTGAAAGAAAACCGATTTCGGGGTAGGTTGACTGGTGGAGCACTCAAGAGAGGACTTAAAGGAGAGGCTACAGTTTCGAGCACTGAAAAGAAGCACGGGGCACCAGAAGCTTCCTTGAGCACATCCGGAAGACGGCATAGCTGCATGTAATTTTCACACTTGGTTTCCTTAGGGTTAGAATGTGCCGTGAGAAACGGACACATTACGCCGAGGCTCGGGTGTATTTTCTTGTTCAGCTCTTCTTGTATTTTAGTGTTACTTTGCTTTCGGAGTCTTTCTCTCTTCACTTATATCATGATGACATTTTTTAAATTTCCCTAATCTCTATCCTTTCAGGAAAACAAAGTCAAACCACCCAACCTGACCACTAAGAGACTCTTCAGAGCCCCGCCAACTCAAGCCAGGCTGACGGCGTGGCCGCGGGCGCCGTGCTGCCCCGCCCCGTCAGCCGGCCGCGCGGCGGAGCCCGAGGTCGGCCAGCAGAGGGCAGCCGTGTTCCCGGCGGGGCGCCCGCGGCCAGCGCCTCTTGCTGGCGCAAGGCTCTCCCGGCCGCCTCTGGAGCAGGCCGGGCTCAGCAGAGAGAACGCACAGGTTCAGCGCGAGCGCCTCTGCTCACAAACCAGCAGAGCCCCGGCGTTCGTACCGGTTTTCAAAAAGAAATCCGAGCAAGCGAACAGAGCCGTCCCAGCGCCTGGCGCCGTGAAAAGAAAGCAGACCGCGGTTACAGAATCTCCCCGGCCGGCACGGGAGGCCAGTGTACCCCAGGGAGGCAAGCCGAGTTCAGGCGCAGCCGCCCGGAAAAAGCCGAACAGTATCAGTCACATCCACGTCGGGCATCTGAACCAGCCGCGCTCCGGACCCCCGCAGGGGCAGTTGTGTGGGCGGAGGACCGGGCCACCCTCTTCCTCCGAGAGGCGCGCGGTGCCGCTGTCCGCCCGCGTGACGCACACGTCGGGTAGCAGTGTAAGAAATGCCGTGGACAGCCCCGCCCGGGGAAAAGACAGCTTAACAAGCAGGCTCATAACACAGATTCTGGGGAAAAGCCACGAGTCACTGAAACTCAAAAGCCAGCCACACATTTTTGAATCAGAAACTGGAGAGTGGCAACTCCAGCAGCAACACTTAGCAAATGAAATTACCGACGCTGGTGCGGCTGAACGCGGCCTAACAGAGCGCAAGGCAGCCCACAGCCGCAGACGGAAGCTGTGTCCCGAGTCTTCAAAGGCTTACACAAGGCATTGCTCTGATGCCCACAAGAGGCAACCTAGTTCTTCTGAGAGCCAGGTAACGTGGTTTTTCTTCCAATCCGGAACACTTGTGTTCTTTTAGGCCCTCAAAGGAGAATGCGAACGGCTGGCCCAAGCAGGCGTGGAGACAGGATAATTAGGAAAGCCATCTGCCCCACCGTGAAAGGGTCACCTAGCTCAGTCCCTTCTCGGGTCACCAAACACTGCAGAAGAGGGAGCAGAGAGGGCATGAGCTGGAGAAGGACAGGGGCTGTGAAACGGGTCTCAGGACAGCACACGGCCGCATCCGTGAGCTCACGGCAGCTGTGCTTCCCTGCGAACACGGGCACACGCACACTTGAGCGTGGACGGGAAGGGCTCCCGAGTCCACCCACTCAGAGCGGCCCTGGCTGCAGGGAGCATCACTGTCTGCAGTGGCGGCACTGATGAGTTGCCTTACATAACTCCCACCCACGGGGCTCATGCAGGAACCAAGATGAAACCCAGCTGGTCACCAAAAGAAATACCTCAGAGGAGAAGCGGGGATGTTTTAACGGGCGTTGGTGGAAGAGGGGCAAGGATTAAGAAAAAGCACTAGAACAAAAATGACCAAAACTCATTTTTTACACATGTAAGAAATTGACAAATAATTTTAAAAACAGAGAGCAGCTCTCTTAAAAAGAACTGTTAGCAATGTGGTTAGTCTGTAACAGACTTGTGTTCTTTGATTTGACACAGGTAGCTAATACAATAAAGCCCGAGGATTCTCTCATCGTTCCCGAGGCCCGCTACAGCGTGGAACAGAGCGCCCGCCTGGTAACTGCAGCGCTACGCACTTCTTTTCCTGGCTCCTTCGAGATAGCCAAGCTTAAATTGGCAAAGACACTGGAGCCGCACATCTGTGACTAAGCAACTGGTCTGCACTGTGTACACACAAAGGACCCTCAGGCTCCCTTTTCAGTTCTGGGCTCTCAGGGCCCAGGAAGCCGGCACTGCACCGCAGCCACAGCAGCTGCCAGAGTGTGCAAACCGGAAAGCCTACTGTCGTTTGGGCATGATCCAAATGGCAGACCTTGCATGGAGCCCCAGAGACAACCAGTAAGTTAAAGTCCACTCCTGAAATGCCATGATGCCAGCCACCCGTAAGCTTGAGACTTGTTTCTCGCTCTGGGTCGCTGGCACCGAGTTCACAAAAATTTACATCTGGAAATAACATTTTATTCCTTGTTGCCATCTGTTCTATTCTAAGAACAAACACATTACTAAAACATCCACAAGTATTCTTCACATAAAGCTATTGGCATACGTTCAGATTCTTTAAGAATCAAGTAGAAAACATTTTTTTCTTTTTCAAATGCTATTTCTTCCTATAACTAATAGAATTTTCAACCTGATTTGAATTAACTAAAAGGTATGTTATTTTCTTCTTCTATATGTTGTGATGTGGTATTTTATGTGGTTTTAAACATCTTCATGTTAATGCTCTCATGTGGCTGAGGAAAATATTGTTTGTGCCTGAGAAATGGCGATTTGCATTTGTTAGAGATGAGAGAAATGTGTCCCAGGTTCCATGCTGTCATAGGGGGATGCCACTTTCTCTTCTTGAATTACTTAGTGACCGACACAGTGTTAACATGAAGTCACCCTACTGGGAAGAACATGAGAACATTGTGGTTTCTGTGGTGATCTGTGCACTTCTGCCCAGTGGTAAAGTTAACAGACATTTCTGTGAACGGAGTAGTTCAGTGAGCAAGTTAAGAACGCAGGCTGGAGAGCTCTCTCAGCAGGTAAGAGTGCGCTGCTCTCCAGAAGGGGGGCTCAGGCAGGACCAACACTGTAGTTCACACTTACGCGTAACTCCAGTTCCAGAGGCTCCACTGCTTCCCTCTGTGGGCTTCAGGCTTGCCCGTGGTACACTGTCATACATGCAGGCAAGACACCCACGCACACCAAGTAGTAAGTTTCTACAACGCGGCAACGCAAAACCACCCACAGTTGCTGTTTGCAGGAGCACTCGCTCAGAACCCGAGGACGCTCTCCCAGACACTGCCTGTGAGCACGAAGGCTGTGTGCTGCTCTGTGGTCTCTTCTCGACTCTACGGTCGCCTCCTTAGTGTTTGTGCCGTATTTCGTTGATGTGGGCCCAGCACGTTTAACTTCTCTTCCTATTGGGACTTAACTGTTTTACAACCTTTCAGTATTATATGTTATGTAAACTTTTCTATACAAAATGTGGTACCAAATTTTCTTACATGGTACATTGTTTTTAATTACAGAGTCTCACGCTGTAGCCCCAGCTAGCCTGGAACTTGCTATGTAGACCAGGCTGGCCTCAAATTCCCAGAGATCCACTTGCCTCTGCTGCCCAAGTGCTGGCTCCAAAGGCATGTGCCACCTTACCCAGTGCAATACCCAGTGTATTGATAGTTTAAAATACTTTTACTTTGCCCTTACTATTTTTATTACTGTTATTAGTTTGAAGTGACTCTGTTTTATTGTCAGAGTTGGGGCTTCACAGATACGGTAGTATAAAGACAACAGGCAGCAGTGTGAAGAAGCTAGGTGCCTATCACCCCCGTTTCCTGGCTGTTGACATTTGACACTGTCTCCTCTGCCCTTTGGGTGCTTTTTACCAACATTTTAAAGCAAATGCAAAGATTCTTACAGTTCCATTTATAAACAAACACCTCAGAATACAACTCTAACTAAGGTATAGTGGACTTTTTAAAGAAAATACTTTGTATGAGCATTTACACTGTACGTTTTGAGAGGATCCCCTATGTTCATCTCCAAACCAACCATACTGTAGTTACACGAGGAAAGAGTCTATGCTTTATAATCTCTGTTTATTCATAATTCTGGGCACACTGTTTCAGTGCTTATTTAGAAGTTAGATGGTGTGCTGTATTGCCACTAAATTTTATTTTTGTTTTTGTGTGACTCATGGGAACCCCCAGAGACATGAGGTCATTTATACTACAGGTTTGGAGCTTTATTGAGGTGGCAGTTTCTGTGCCCAGATAGACTCATTAGTCCTGCTGTGTGCCAGGTAGTGGCCATGCTGTGTCCACTCCTAGAATGGGAGGACTTGCCCCAAAGGCTGAGTCTAGTCTTTAGCCAACTCACGTGTGCCTGTGGCTCAGGCTTAGCACTATGTGTGTGATGAAGCAAGTGTCCAGAATCGCCTGCTTGTCCTCTGCAGACAGTTAGAGATGGAGGGAGAAGCACAAACGGTGCTCCTCTCCTAAGGGGAGTTTTCATCATGTCAGATATTCCAGGCTTTAACTGGACTTGATAACATATAGTCAGCATACATCTTAAAAGCCAAAACTCTTCATTGAAAATCCTACTACGATCATCCTTCATTATGTACCTAAAACTGACAACAACAACAACAAAAAACAAGTTTAAATTGAACTGTGCTTGTTAAATATGGATGCTGTGGAATTCCGTCTCCTGAAGTTATGCCCCGTAGTTGGTTTGCTCTATGCTTTCACTATGAGCACTTCTGCGTCCAGAAATCCCTGAGAAAGACAATCATGTTCATGGGAAGAGTGTACATTAACTCCTTCCTCATGCAGTCCATGTAGTGGGCAGCCAGCAGGCCACAGTAAAGACCTGAATGTTCATGTGTGGTCAGCAGAGCCATCCAGACACAGCCATTCTTGAACTGGCCTTCCCTAGATGCTTCCTGGGGCTGCTCCCTCACTATTCCATAGGCTGGGGAGACACCATATCACTAAGCAAACTAGTTAGAACATCAGTCTACTGCTGAAGCAGTGGAGAGTGTTTCCCAGCTCTTTAAAGAATCTTGATAATCCCCTATTAGCTGAGCTATGCAGAACTGACAGCATAATATTTATTTTTTCCTTTTAGGCAAGGCATCATATAGCCCATGTTGGTCTCGAATTCACTATGTAGCCTAGAATGACCTTGAACTGCTAATCTTCCTACCTCTGCTTCCAGAGTGCTAGATTATAGCTCAGTTCATATCCTGGAAATTAAATCCAGGGCTTTGTACATATGAGGCAAGCCCTCTATCAAGTGAGCTGTATCCCATTTTAGATTTCATTTTAGATAAATGGTCACATACATGCAGGCTTGTTATGCTAAAATGAATCTATATGAGTTTGTTGCCTTGTGTAAATATACATATATAATCTCCATGCACATACATATGTAATCTCCATACACATACATATATAATCTCCGTACATATACAAAAATGCACTCTATACACACCAAATTTCTGTGCTAAAAATTCAACAGAGAAATCAATGAAGGTCCTGGTTCATATTAAAACTTTAGTTCTCGGGGCTGGAGCCAACTCAGCAGTTAAGAGCACTTGCTGCTCTTGTCAAGGATGCAAGTTTATTTCCAGCACCATATAGCTGCTCACAATCATCTATAACTCAGATTCCAATGGGATCTGGGATACGATACCCTCTTCAGGCCTCTCAGGCACCAGGCACATACATGATACACATGCATACATGAAGGCAAAACTCACAGACAAAGAATATTTTTAAAAGACTTCAATTTCTGAAAACCAAAATAACTGCACAGCCAATTAGAAAAAAACAAATTTTTCTCTTTTAGGTTTGGATACTTTGTTTGCAGTACAGACCCCTTCCAAAAATTCATTCCTTGCTTTTCAATTCTGCATTACAACTTTAACCATAAATAATTTTTGTTTGCCTATATCCAGAGGCTTAGAAATCAACCACCACACCAAAACAAACTTATGGAAATAGGCCAAAATTAATGCCAAGAATCATATTTACAGTTATGTAAAAATGTTCCTCATGTATATTGGTGCTTACTATAGTTGTATGTGGTTTTATATTTTATTATATGTTACAATTATTTTACTTTACTTGTGTTTATTACTCACTGTAGCAAACAAAATCTTGAGAATCTCAGTGATTGGTTTTATTTGACAAATTTATCAACCAATTTTCACTCTCTGTTTTCAAGTTGCAGATGATCTGTTTTTATGCTGTGCCTGCTAATATATATTTGTAAGGTGTTCTGAATAATCAGCATAAGGACTTAAAGATGCATGACCCTTATGTGTTGATGCTCAGAATGTTCCTGCTGAATATTATTTCAGATGACAAACAGTAAAGACATTTCAAATCCACGTGCTTTTCATATGTCAGAGTGACGGTACAGAGAAGGAGAAGAGCTTAGGTGTCCTGCAAACTCCTTTCCCACCACAGCTTATTTCCTCATGAGCACCTGCTGCTAAGGAAACCAGTGTAGGTCCTTAGTACATCATGTGGTAGAACTGTGATAACCTTTGCACATGAGGTAGGAGAACTGACGACTTTCTAAAACCTGCGCACTCCAGTGCAGCCACGTGAATGGCAGGATCGGGCTAAAGTCCCACGTATCAGCCACAAGAAAGTAAGTACACCTCCCCTGAGCCGAATGCACCTAGACGTTGCTCTGATGTGTGAGAAAGACCAGTCACTCTGCACACTGAACTCCAGCACCTGCACAGCAGCAGCTTCCCGGCGTTCCTTGTTCTCCTCTCACAGTATGCACATATCTAAGAGGGCTTTTTAGAAGATGTTTGAAGTTAACTACATGTGTGTGTAAGGATGTGTGCGCGTGAACCTAAGTGTCGGCAGGCAGGGCCCTAGGGTCTGCTGGAGCTGGAGCTGAGAGCTGCCAGTGGGAGCCACATTTGGCCAGCCCTCAGCAAGACCAGAACCCTCTTTCCTGATGGGCCATCTTGCCAGCCCCACATTAGGAGTTCTTGTAATCTAAAGTCTCACTGGCTTCTGGTGCCTTCCCACTTAAGACATATAGCCCAAAGGTGCCATATGTGCTGCGGACTGCTGGGAAGGCCAGGTCCTGTGTCCTGTCCAGCCCTGCTCCCCCAGGAAGGACAGTCCGGTTGTAGTTATTGCTCTATGGTCTCCTTTAGGATAATTGCTTTGCAGGGGAAAAAGCTAGCACCATCCCATGAAATGTTTTCCTTCTCCAGAAATACAGAAAATGGAAGTAAAAATGACTTGTCTTCCTGATCTGCTACCTATGTGGAAAATTCTGTCTATTGGTAAGAAGGCATTTCTGCTGTACAAGGTGGAAGTCAATTTTTATAACTGGCAAGACTTTGGAATGCCTCTCTAAGGGAGTATTACAGTTTTAAAACTAAATTTAGGAATAATCAGAGTTCTCAGAAAATGTCATTGATGAGCTAGCTAGAACTAGAGTATAAATTTTACACATGACCTACTGTAGCATGAAGTTAAATGGTCTAATTACACCAGGCCGTTTGAAATATTTTCATTAGAAAAAGTAATGAGTAGTGAATTGAGCTGTAATGTTGGCCTATAGCTTGTCCTATATGACTTTTACTTTATCGGACTTGTTCTTTTTTATATTTTTATTTTATGTCCATTGGAGTTTTGCCTGCAAGTATGTTTGTGTAAGGGTCTTAGATCTTGGAGTCACAGACTTGTCCTGAAGAAGTCGGCTATGTGATTCTGAGATAAAGCATTAACTTGCATTCCCTGTTTTCAGTTTAGTTAGTACATAATGAAGATGCCAAGAGGCAGGCCTGAGAACAAAAGGCAGAGGTAGAAAGTTTCATATTAGGCATACATTTGGCCAGTGTTGAGCTGAAATAACTATGTGTCACTGTGATGATTAACTATGAAGAACAGGAAGACCAGAAAAGTTTCCTTTCATTAACTTAAAAGCCAACGTGAGTGTTACCGTGAGAGATATTGAGCAGTAACCAGGCTTAGCGTATCTATCAATGTATCAAATGACCCCACCCCCAGACTTAGCAAGAGAAGTGGGAGATGGACATTTAAAAGCTAAATTGTTTAAGAATGCATGGGGAAACAGAATCTATGTCTAGTCAGTGTTGCAATGTGAAGAAAAAGGTGCAGCTCACTTAGTACTTGATAGACACCACCAGAAGCTCCTAAAATGCCTCTTAAAGAGCCCTGTTTGGGTCATCTATCCCATATCCAAGCCGCTTTCAAATCCCCAACCCACAGAAACTGTATGAGATAAATCCTCTTCGTCCCTGTTTTAAGCCACAGTATTGGAGGTGAAGTATAATAGATACTGTGATGGTTAAGCACGGCTTTTCACTTGATTGGCTTGTGAAATGCCTAGAAGATTAAGAAACATGTCTAGGAGTATACCTGCTAATGTAGTCCGTAGTCAGCTGAGGGATCCGACCTAAAGAATTACCTAATCCTGATGAGATCAAAAGCCTCATCTGATAGCCTGTTAGGAGGTAGAGGCGCTATGGAAGGGCTAAGGATACCTTCACTTCTTCCTTGGCATAGAATGTGAATTATTCTACCCTCCCTGCCATGTGGACTGAAGCTGACCTAAAGAAAACTTGCCTCTTTTTAAGTTCTTTATGCTAGGCATTCTGTCACAGCCACGAGAAAACTAACAACTCATTCAGTAAGAGCTTAAGAATATTAGTATAAAACACAGGAAAGTATGTGTATGCACGTTTTGTTGAATCCCCCCTTTCCACCTCTGTGAATCAGAGCATATTATGAGAGTTTTTTCCCTGCTTCCTCAAGACAGAGCAGCAAAACCAGACATAAGCACAATTCCATGACAGTTCTCTTGGTGAGCTGGCGAGTTAATCAGGCTAATTGGAGAGGCTACATACAGGACCATGAGTGAGACTCCATTGCCAGAAAGTCTCACCCTGCATCGGTGGTGACGTCCCTGTAGCGGGATGGAGTCCCTCTTCAGCCAGCTCTGCACACGCTGAATACTCAAGTGCCTCCTGAGACCATGATGCTACATGCAATTAGAACTGTATATGGTAGGTGCAGGAGGGAGCAGTCGGAGGGGAATTAAGTGAGGGCACAGTGAACCTCTGTGCCCCCTCTAAAGACAAAGATGGCTGCTTTGCTTGGATTATAGTGCTCTCAACAGGAGAGCAAAGCTCTGGAGACCCAAGTAGATCTGTCCACGGTGGGAAACAGCAATCTAAGTGTTAATTAATGCTTAGGGAATTACATTGTGAGTGTTCTTCCCAAGAGGCATGTATTAGCTCATTCTGAGATCCTACTTCCCTGTATCCTGTATCCACTTTTTCCCTTGTCATAAGAACTTTGTCATAAGATGCTGATGGGAAGCAAACCAGGACAGGTGCTGGGGCCAGGACTGGGACACTGCTAAAGGACCTGACCATGTTGATGTGGGGAAGGGTGATGGGAGGGTTGTGGAACGCTGGGCTGGAAAAGTCAAGCTCAGAGCTGTGTTCTGTGAGAGCTCGAATGCACTCATGGGCTTAGCTTGTGACTTTGAGACTCTCCGCTGTTAGTGTGCAGTTCTGCAAGTGGCAGAGGCAGAGAAGGGGGATGGAGAAGCACCTCGGAGCTCAGGAGATTGTGAGTGAGTTCCAGGTGTCAGGCATTGCGCTGCAGGACCTGGAGTTTCCTGGTGGACCTTAATTTTCTGAAGCCTAATTGCTTTTGTTCCCTGAATCTTCCCCTCCACACTAAGAAAGTATTTAACCTGGGCTTCTTTAGTTATTGTTGTTGTTGCTTAATTTTACAAGGACCAAGAGTTACGAGACTGACTATTTTTAAACAGACTTTGAACTTTTAAAGTGTCAGTTTTTTAAAGACTGGTTGTACGACTTTTTGTGTTGTGATATTGACATGAATTTACAAGGGTCAATTGTTTGTCTGCTCAGCTGTTAGTAGAAAGTGTTTCTAGTAATTTTACATATATGTCTACTAGATTTGAACTTCTTTTTTGTCAACTAGACACACACTCCAGTCACCTGGGAAGAAAGAGCCTCATTTAGAATTGCTTCCACCAGACTGTAGGCCAGTCTGTGGGGCATTTCTTTGATTAGTCATTGGTGTGGGAGGGCCTCTCCAAGGGCCCATCCCACTAAAGTCAATGTCACATCTCAGAAGTGTGTATAAGGAAGGTAGCTGAGCAGGCCGGGGGAGGAAGCTGGAAAGCAGCATTTCTCCGTGTTCTCTGCTTTAGATTATGCCTCCAGATTCCGGCTTTGAGTTGCTGTTTTAGCTTCCCTCGGTGATGGACTGTAGACTGTAAGCCAAATAAAGCCTTTCTTCCCCACATTGGTTTTGGTCAGTGATATTTCACAGCAACAAAAAGTGAGCTACAACAGCAATGAAGGAGGCTTCCTGCTGCTCAGCTCTAAAACATGATACAGCAGGGGGAGGAAGATCCACGGACGAGGTTGTTTTCAGGGATGTGGGGAGTCCAGGTACACACGGCTTCTGACACATTTCTGCAGAGTAACAGTCTTCTTTCTGCCAGCGTTCCTGTATAAACTCACTTCTGTTAGGAGCATGTATCTCACCCATTGGCGAGGGAAGGATTCAGCATGGTGCATGGTACTTCCACGATCGACAAGGCTCCTTAGACATCCAGCTGGCTTGCTACTGCTTTTCTCTTGAGAATCATTCTCGGATGGTTTGGGGCCTAGGCCTAAAACTCTGTCTAGCTTACAATGTGAGACTTATCTGAGAACAAGTGTTAATTTCTCACAGTTACCAAAAGGCCAGACACTCAGCCTTCATCATCAGGGAAAACAAACTCCCTCAGAGCAACACGTTTCCAGGCCGCCCTGTGTGCTCCAGATCCATGCAGTCAGTGGTGAGGGGAGAGGTGCTGGGTGCGAGAGAGCCCTGTGTGTGCTGGCGACCAAAGGCACACCTTCTCACACAGTCCCATAAGTGCTCAGCAAACTTGTACAAAGAGAATTAATGGCATGACCTACTTTTATAATGTATCTATAAGACAAAGGACTTTTATGTGTTATAAAGTGGAGCAGTCTCCGTATCCTCCAGCGCAACAATTCTGCCTGCCCCTTGCCTTCCAAGAATGGGCTTTAGTGCTTTGTAAACCAAAGAAATCCTCCCTAAATATGGGGCTGTAGAAGTGAAACAAAGGAAAGTATTTTAGTCATATTTCTCTCTGACCAGATTTACCACATTTCATTATTCTGCTGCCTACTATGCCTTTGCAGTCCCCAAGGAAATACTGAGATGAAACTGAGAACAGCAACAGAAAGTGGGATATTCGATACCCCGGTTGCAGATATCCAATCAGGTCACACAATGATTAAATTTAGCTCTCGCTAACCTGATTTC